AATTAAATCGTGTTCAAAAATAACCCTCAATTATTTAAACTGATAAGCATTCTGTTATGCAGATGGGCACGTTTTCCGGAAGATATATATAGATATACCTTTTATGCGACTAATTGCTAGTTAAGTAGTGATTAAAAGTTACTACATAATAAAAAGCATATTTCTATATTGGTTACTATCAGAGTGCTTCTGTCATCAAAAATACTATGAATAAACAATTTTGTAACCCAATTTATATCTTTTCTGTTAATGAGCTGATTGATTCTTCTTACTTACTTTTACCATTACAAACACGAACAACATTAGGTGAGGGCAGATTGATTGCCTTTATATAAATCAGTAAGATCAATAATTTTAATAACTTGTTGAATATAGTAAGGAAAAAAAGTGATTTTCATCCATAGTTATGGTTTGTAGAGTTGAAGATCTTTTTGACCTTTTGCCTTCTTTATGTATGCATAAATAAAGACGCAATGAATTTGTGTGGTGAATGCATTATGAAATCTCCCATCTCTGACATCCCTTTCTAAGGTTGAAATCAAGGATCTAATATTTTGTGAACTTGAATAAATATTGTTAGGTCAACATAAAATTTTAAACCCTGTTTATGTCTTTAACAATTTATATAGACATTTGTAATGTTTTTTTAAATGAAATAATTACAACTTTAGAATGGATTGTAATGAACAATTACAATGTAAATATATAAAAGCACCTGTTGGTATAATGGGCCTAGTGATCGTCAATGTGTTTATAAGTCCCCAGATTCCCTGGTACTGCCGAAGGTTGGGAAATCCCGCTTCCCTTCTTGGAGTTTCCTCATATGACCACGCATATATAGTCCTACTCATTCTTTTCTCGCAGTGGTGTTATTTACAGAGTCGAGAAGACGAAAAGTGAATAGTGAGCACTCAAACTGAGCTTGTGTATAAGAAAGATCCGCCTAGGGGAGTTGGAAAACCTTTATCACAAACCAATTGTTCACATGTGCTCTAGGATTTTGATGAATCGAATGGCATATTAACATATATTCGGTCATTATAAACCAGATTTTCTGAAACCACATGTTCCATTTAAACTGCCCTCTTTCAACGTTCACACACTGATGCACATAAGAAAACAGACAGGTTTGGCTACGACTTTAAAAAGCCTCTAGTAAAGTACTATAAACTAGCTATCCACCTACCGATTTGAAATGCGTGTTTCGTGTGTTTATCAGGGGACCCAGTGGCATCTTCGTCTGGTTCTGACGGAGTTGGTGTCACACTAAGCTCTAGATCTGAGGCTGTATTAATCGTTTAGATTCTCATTAAAACGGTCGAAGAGGTGGGGATAGATTGGAAACCCAACAACAGTCGCCACCTTGAATGGTGATCGAGCTTGCCTCTCCTGATGACTCACTCGGGCCATATTGGGTGGAATACATGATTCTGTAGGTCCTACCACGCCAGGTAGGTTGGTTGGAGAATGATAAGATTAAAAGTAGCAACTTAAGGTTCGAGGGTGACGTTGTACCGCTGACTGTAAAGGGGTGTGGAGCTAGTAAAGTGTTTCTCTCAGACAACTAGCAACTCCAGTGACCTCATCTTCTCACAAGTGAAGAAAGAGATTAGAAAAGGTCGACCTCAAAATGTCACACCACACCTTACACTATGGATTTCTGTCTCTCTTTTGAAGCGCGAAGCCAACATATCAGAAACTTCTCATGAAAAGCCTGTGCGCAATCAGCATCAAGGACTTTTCCCTTGGGGTCTGCGCTCACGCTTCTAAGTTGTTAAGACCACCATCAATTCAGCTCCTTTATTTGGACCCTCAAAAAATATTCCTCCATATTGCAGGCAACCGGGAATTGAAAATCACTCTCACACCTCTATCAACACCCGAGATCATCCTGTTCACAATCAAACCCCTTCCTCACCTCTTGGTAGTTCATTCATCTCCACAATTAACCCTTCGCGTTTCTCTTCATCATCACGCATCACCAATGTTAATGATCTGAGTCCACGAAATGTTACTCATAATCCCCCGAAACCACTCTCTATACTACATGTTGAAGCTTTTAGTTTTCGAATCTTACATCAGATAGAACAACAGGCTACTTTAGCTAGGACTCTAGAATCTCGCACTATCTATGTATGCTGCGTCTAAGAAAAACTCAGTCAGAATCCAAATACAGTCACTCGCTTAACCTCACCTTGTCAATATGAAGAACCAGGACGGTTTATCCTTTGGTTTTCTGGAGACCCCACTGCTACTTCTCGTGGCCTTGTTGGTATAGGTATAGCATCAATTTCGAAAGCTTAACAGGCTCTGGTAGACTGGCTTCCAATAGACACCCGCTTGTGCGCTATCCAACTAAAAGCAACAGTAAAACTTGGAAAGATAGGGACACACGGCGTTGCCTTTTCGTTATCCCTATCTATGCTCCTACTGATTGATCGACTGAGCGAAATCAGTGGATTTCAACGGTTTTTACAGAACTGAACGATGCGCGGACTCAACCCGTCTGGCTCCGAACACCATCAGGAGAGGAGGCTGCATAGACATAGACTGATAGACAACCTACGCAATGATTATGAGCAGTGACGCTTAGAGGAAGCAGAAGAGATGGAAAAGGTAGTAGTGATAGGTAACAGTAGACAAGTGTTCAGAATAGTCCGGCTGTTGGTGAAACTGTCAGAAAAGGACAGGACTGTTATTCACTCTCAGTTCAGGAAATCGAATCGATGGGTAGAACACTTGAGGGAATAGTTCAACTGACCTTCAGTCACATTTCAGTTACCCAATATCTTCAAGCAACCTGAATTGCAAATTGATGTAAATCATCTAACTCTTAGTGAAGTTGAAAAAGCTATAAGTAATCTAAAAGGGGAGAGGGTGGCAAGGCTTGGTGAATTAACCTTCAAGATGTTTAAGGATGGTGGTATACTTTTAGCAGCTGGATTAACTAAGTTCGCATCTGACTATTCTCGATTGCTGATTATTCCAGTTTATAAGAAAGGACAAAAATCCTCTTATGAAGATCACAGAGGAATCAGTTTAACTAAAATAATGTATGGAATATTAGCCTCAGTAATACTTTGACATCTGACAATCGCTCGTGAGAAGCGAATCTGAGACAACCAGAATGGTTTAAATTAAATAATTATGGATTTATCTTGAGAGTTTACAAGATCGTTTAACAAAGCGCAAAAATCTTGGATTAACAATAGTTATCAAGTAGAATGAATCGTTACCTGACATTATAATTCGGCATTTCCTGGAGTTCTAATGAGAAGGCTCGACTATTGAAGTTCAACCAGGTCTGTTGTGAGATATCAGCTCAATGAAGACAATGGTGTACGGTGGCGCAATTTCGTGGATTAGTTGAAGTTAGACGTTGACACCGTTGGATGCCGGCTCAGTGGTTTAGTGGTTAAGCGCTCTCGCACAAGACTGATAGGTCCTGGATTCGAATCTCACAGTAGGCGGGGTCGTGGATGCACACTGTTGGGGAGTCCCACAATAAGACGAAACGACCATCCAGTGTTTGCAGGTTTTTCATGGTGTTCTAGCTTCAATTAACTCATGATTTCAACTATTGAAATTACTAAACTCTCCATAAAACCCTTTCTGATAATTTATATACGTCAAAATAATGAAAACGGAAAACATAACAAGAAAGTATTGGGTATTTTATTTCAAGTTTTCATTTGACTGACTTCCATAACAGGGAATTAAATAATAAACATCAAGTAGCAACGCAGTATTTGAAATAAGTATTATGAGAGAAGTAAACAAAAAACTGATACACACACATATAGATAGAGAGAAAAACAATAGTCAGAAGAATATAGATCGAGGTGCAATAACTAATTAAATTTTTTTAGTGCTTAAGTAGGTTTGTATTAATTTGCTAAGTTAAGATAGGATAAACTGATAATTTAACATTGATATTATTCAACGAACATAATAACCATGACAGAAGTAAAGGGAAATGAAGTTTTTATTCGAATAATGATCTACACACATTTCTACAATGATCCAATATTGAGTTAGAGAGTGAATAAATTGAAAAGATCGAAACTAGAAGATAATCATTAAAGTCTAAATAAAGCACCACGACATACTTGTAAATGTAACAACAAAAAATAGCATGTAACAATTACAACATGAAATAAGGAATGACAATATAGAGATTCATAGAGAAGAGAAGACAAATGAAAAAAATGTAATAGACAACTTTAAAGAATTTCATGACATTTATAATGTCATAGTAATAAGATAAACTAATCACTATGGTGTATACTTTTCTGTTCATTATCATTTCAAATCAACTAACAAATAAAAACTTAGGGACAACTATACAATTACACCTCAAAGAAAAAGATTCAAAATAAGAGAGTAGAAATTTAACAAAGAAAGATATAGATAAAAGAAAATAGGGAATGAAAAAGAAATACATCGAATCATTGATCTACATTTTTGTCAATAGAACAATACTCTGTATGGAAAAAACAAACAAACATTCTTTTGATATTTAACATAAATATCATTTTCAGTATATACTTTGTTGACAAATAAAACATTATCGAATTTATTCTTTGGATTTTAATTGATCACGCCAATCTTCTTTCTACACATTCATATGAAGTTAATTTATTGTAAACAGAAAAGAGCGAGCATTAATGTAAGAAGCCAAAAAAAAAAACACCGAAAAAAAAGTGAAGAAAAGAATCGTTGTAAATAGGGACTAGATTATAGTCTATATGATTATAATGAATACAATAAAAGATAAGCATCTGGTGTGACAGATAGCAATAATATAATTTCTTTGACTAAACTTACTGTATTATTTCTTGTTTGTTCACTTGATAAATTAAGTTCAATGTCTATATATATTAATTCATTTTATTGTCTTGTTCTTGGTTGTTTTACGATGATAATAATAATAAAAAAGTTTATTTATGAACGATATACTGACTGTTAATTGATTATTGATGGTTTGGGTAAAAGATAGAGTAAACTATTATTTAGGTGTATTCTTGTAGTTTATTGAATAGTGTATGTTATAAAAGGATAGATCCAAAGAAATTTATGATTAGATACGATGAAACAAGCGGGAAAAAGAGAAAACACAAAAAAAAATACACACAATCATTTAAATTAAAAAAAACAAACTATTCAATGAACTTAAAATCAAATCTAGAAAAAAAAACTGAATTCAAACTAATATCATGCAAATTATATTAATCAACATAATTCGATGTAAAACTCTTCTACAGTTTCTATGGTCTGTTTTTTGTCCATGAATATACTTCAACCATAATTCTAATTCACTTGGTATTGTTTGACTTGTATCCTCCCATTGAGGTTTAAGACTGCAATCGATCAGTCTGTTATTGGCATATATACATACTGTGCGTATGCCTCGATATTACCTTAATTCACAAGCTTTTTGTAAGCAATGATGGATAGTGGCTAGCAGTGGAATCCAGGAAGCGCGTTTCGTCCTATTTGAGACTCGTCAGCTAGATGTACCTGTATCTCAGAGAGTTGATGTTCACTCTGAGACTCGAACTCAGTACCATTCGCTTCAAACGCCATCGCGTTATCCACTCAGCTACGGAGTCCTGATAGCCACTTGCTTGTGCAATGGAGTGAACATCAACTCTCTGAGATGCAGGTACATCCAGCTGACGAGTCCCAAACAGGACGAAACGCGCGTCCTGGATTCCACTGTTAGCCACTATCCATCATTGCTTACAAATCATAATTCTAGTTTAAATTAATAATCATGTTGAATAAATATTTTGGATTCTTTATTCTTCCTAGGTAGATACTTTGAATATAGAGGATATGAATGGTAGTATGAATGATATTGAATATATGTTACTCAATATTATTATATACATGATTATTAGTAACCGGTTATTTAAATTAATACCAGGATAAATAAGTGAATATTGCAAATTTTATTATTCAAATTACTTTCATGTTACTAACAGTATTGATGACTGTTAATGTAAAGAATCTAAGAAATCCTTTGTTTAATTTATCTATTCATGGTTAGTTTGTTTTAAATGGAATTATCAATTTCAAACTATTTAGTTACCTAATACAAGTCACTGATAGATTTTAGAAAAGGATTAAATAACTGTATTTGGTTTTGTTTCAGAAGACCCGGATAATTACGACGGAGAATAGCTATTACTGCTATTTTTCACACTTTAACAGTTCTTATTGCTTAATGTTTTGTCCTAACTAAAGAGCTCAGTTGATGCATTGGTAAAAATGTGAGATCCAAAAGTCGCCAAGTTATTACTGAGTAGTATTGAGAGGTTAATGAAATGTGTTTACCTACATAACCAATCTAGTCCATTTGTAATCAGTAAAAACATAAGTCAACCTATATTTTAAAACTACTTCAAAATGGTAAGCTCTAGTAAAATCTCATGCTCACTCAGTGTTAAATTCCAAAATCTAATTAAATATAACTGAATAAAATACAAAGTAATAGGAGCAGAATGAAGTATCAGTTGAGGAGTAAGTCATTTTATGTTAAAGATAATTATGAGTAGATTGTATGAATCGAGTTGATTTGAAATAATCAATGTTTTAATAGTAGTCAGAAGTGATCCCATACGTTGTTTATTCTTAGAGATTATATAACGTTCCTAGTTATTATATTAAATCAGACTTATCATTGGAAAATCCAGCAAAGTCACTTACATACACCCCTAAAGTAAGTCATATCTGAGCCTTATTAAAAGAAATATTTCTTAACTGGAAAAGCTTCTATTTTTCAATGTATCATTAAATACTCAATGTTGTAAATCGGTTTACATATAAGAGAACTGATGTACACGTTCGACAAATAAAAAATTATTTCTCATTAAGTATTGCAGTTATAATAATGTATATTATGTCTCTGAATGATTTAAGATAACTATTAATCGAAGCAGAAACGACGTATTAATCTGTTCTGATAACATATATTTCTAACAAATATCATCTAGATATGACAAATCTTTCTTTCTTTGTTCGTTGGAGGTACTTAATAGGAGGCTTCAGGCATAAATTTATGCTGACTTACACTAGTCACCATGGCTATTCCACACTCTTATTAAACGTAATGTTTTCTTATGATTTAAACAGGTATTAAAATCTAATTTCACAGTTTTACTGATGTTAAGAACAAATATCCATTTAGCCATCGAAAATCTAAAAAAATCAGAATAATTCAAATGATGATACTCTAGTAAAATTAGAAGTATTTCAAAAACAGTAATTACTATCATAAGACGATTCCCTATATTATTCAAAGGGGAATTTAATAACTCAAAATTAGTCACTAAAATCAGATAAGTAAATAATCATAATATGATCTCAGTATGATTAAATTTAGGGAACAGGGTTTAAAAATGCAACCTGTATTTACTTACCAAGTGTTCACTCTTTTGTTGAAAACATATGTTCTAAATATTATACTTTGTAATATCACGAAAATTTAGCTAGAAATCTAGTTGAATGCCTTGTCGGATATTTTGTTAAAGTACCTGGATTTCAGGGATTATGATAATGTTCGAGGTTAATGATACCGTTTAACAGTCAAAACTCGTAGGAAAGATGAAACCTGATGTTTACTTAGAAGTTGAAAAAGTGATATTCATAAGTGGTATGAAATGTGATATATATATAATAAGCAATTAACACTATATAAACATTCACTCTCTATACATGAGGGAGGTGATTTATTTTAATATCCTTAGGTAAGATTTTACTTAAAGATTATTAGTTGTTTTGACTTAGAAACAAACAAAACTCATAATTCCATACGTCTAGGTTACAGCTGACTTATTGGTATACGTTAATCATCTTAATAATATTTTATAGAACTTACCACGACTTCATCTTTTTCCTCCAAAGCGTACTTACTATGACCGGTTGACTTAAGTTGACTACGAAAAGAAGAAAGTGAATGTCCACCTTCCTTCTTCTCAAATCGTGCCATATGACTTTCAGTTTTGGATACCTTCTTTAAAACTGGTTTAACGCTATACAAATTTAATGAAAGTAACATACATAATAATTTATTATTTTGCAGAATGAATTCTTTATTGTACAATCTATCTAAATTCTTTCCATCTCATTATCGAATAAACTTAATCAAGAAATATATTCTAATGTATTAATAAACCTTAAAATTGCTACAAAATATAATGTACAACAGAACCTACTCAATAAGTGCTCTATTTTAAGTGTTTTCTCATAAACAATTTGAGTGAAAGTATACAAGGTTGTTTTTAAAAAAAATTTAAATAACTATTTTGAGTGATCAATGTTACTGGGGTAATTTTTCTGTTTTATCATTATTATATTCAGGAGAATAAAAATGACAAATGAATAAGTTTAATTAAAAGCAGCTAACTTTTGATAGAGTTTTGTTCTCTGAGCTAGATGGTTTGGTTGTAAAGCTTTCATCGTTCTTCTGAACGACATAATTAGCACAAACTTCAGATAGAAGTGAGACATTCGAATTTCTCCATATGTGGTTCACAGCTTGTCCTGTAGACCTCGATGTTGATTAGTTCTTGCTGACCGTTGCTGCTACCTTGACGCAGTGGTCGGGCATGCCTATCGTGACGAACCAATCGGGCTACACTGGCTTGAACATTCGTTTCTCAAGATCCTACCATGCCAAAGAGGTTGGTTGAAGAGTGGTAAGATTAAAAGCAGCAGACCTAAGGTCCAAGGATGAAGTCGTACTGCTGACTGTACAGAGGTGTGACGGCTGTAAGGTGTTTTCCTCGGACAACCAGTATGAAGGAAGGGTGGGGTTAGAAAAGGTCGTCCCCAAAATGCACATCTCGCACTATCCCACGGATTTCCGTCTCTGGCGGTAAGGTCCCAATAAGTACAGAGCTAACACGAAAATTACTCACGAAAAGGTCGTGTGTAACCGGCTTCAAATAGTTGTCACCTGGGCACCGCGGTCACACTCTCAGGTCAATAAGACCAACTCTAACCCAGTTTCCTATCCAGGTACCTCTAGAAGAACCCTTCCATGATGTGGGTAACCGGGAAGTGATTATCACCCTTATACTTCTAACAGCGCTCAAGACCACTGACTGACTGAATTTCTTATGTAATTAGTTACTATTTTACAGAGACAGCATATTAGAAATATGAGTTATCCTGTTGGTAGTACGTTCATATTTGATTTTATGTTGTATAGTCGTGATATTTAGAAGCATTTGAATTATTGTACGAACTAGAAATCCCAAAAATAACACAATCTAAGTAAACAGAACTCGGTGAGCAAAAAGAAACGTTTTGTATTTCGAATTCGAATCGAGGCAGTCATCAAGTGCAAATGAATCATTAGTTCACACAAACACCACATTAGTGCATAGGAGATCCGTGGAATTGATAGTGATGAACCCATTTTTAATAGTATGGGGAAATTATACCTTTAATAATTTTAGTACTTCGTTTTTCTTTGAGTATGACGTTTTTCTGACAAAGTATTTATTTTCAAGAGACCTTGGTTTATATATAAGCGGAAAGTGCTAACCACCCTCGCAGCTCTAACAGCACTCAAGAACACTGAATTTGTAATCAATTTCTCTCTTCAATTCCTAATATTTCTCCTACCTCGACAGATACACTAACAGCAATAGCAAATAATTTACAAACTTAGATTTTCCCAATTATTTCAATCTAGCAGTACTAATAATACCTAAAATAAGTTGTAAAAATTGAAAATACATTGTTTAACTTATTGAATTTCCGTACCTGTAGAGATTTTGACACATGTTTCATTGTTAAACTGGTCATCGTCAGTGACAAAATTACAACTATCTTAGTACAGTAGTACATTTACGAAATTTCATCACAAAGGTTTCGATTTTATTGCTTAACTTAGCCATAATCCAGATGATTGACAGATAAATTAATGAAAGTCATGTCTACTCCTTTATAAAACTGACATTAATTCATGTGCCCATAAAACCTGATAATAAACAAGATAGTTGCTGGATGATTCTAGTTCACATTTCAATAAATCAATAATCAGGTAACCAATTATTTGAATAAAATAAAGCATAATAAACTTACAATTTGCCTTTTACATCATTAACCTTGATTGTTAATTCATTGATCTGATTATAAATGAACAAATAAAAAGATCAATTATTGATAGCAAAGTTTTAGTTAATAAGTGAACAACTTTATTTTGATTGGAATTCAATTGAACAACAACAACCAACATTATAATTCGAAAATAAAGGAAATCTTTTCAATGTTGTCGTAACAACCACTTTCGGGCTTTTTATCTTTTGTTTGAAAAGTAGCTAAATTAGTACATATCTACTTACAAGTGAGTTATATATATTTCAATAGTTGTGATCATGAGTCTATTCAAGTTAGACCAAAATTGAGGTTAAGCGTTTGCTTTTGAAACTGAAAGTTTAAATTTCGAGTCCCGTGTGTGGGATTGTGGATGCACACTGTTGAAGAGTTACTTCTAACAAGAACTAATAACTTACAAGATATATGATAATTAAACACTAAACATTCATTAGTATCTAATATTAATTTGAAAACTACACCACTACTATCTTTCGTATTGAAATGTAGTATTCAAATCAATTGTAACAGATCAAAAAGGTTTAAACTTTCAATGTAAACTATTACCTTCTTCATACGGAATTCAACTTTGATTAAGTGCGATATTTATCATTTTGTTAAAAGTATTGAGACATGGATTGTTTCCATTTATTTATATTATTTATTAGTAGATGTCATATGAAACTTTTAAGAATTTCATGCTAAAAATATCAAATAAACTGCTGAGAAGTTATATACCAGTATGATGAACAATAACACAAGTGGAGACAATCGAATATATTTGAACACAATATCATAGAACATCTTACTAAAATCTGAGAACCATACAGTAAGTACTTCATTTGCAAAATGTCAGTCATTTGTCGCAAACTTGACTGTTCCTCTTGCAAATATTAGTCAATCGTCTCAAACTTTGTTGTTCTTTAGTTTCCATATTGTTTTTGTTCTCGTTCTCTTTTCTTTGATCTTCTTAACCTTCTGCCTCCAGGTATTTCACTTTCGATTGATGATACATACTACTTCTATCTGTCAACATCAACATCACACACCATACTTGGGTGAAATTACTATTCAATATTCCCTCTAGTTTTCAATGATTATTTCATCATCAATCGTTAAAGTATGACATATTGCCGAAATATATTGGAATAAGTAAACTAAAAATAAAAATCACCTCAAAATCTTGACGTCTTAACTTTTCTTCCCAATCGTATTTATCACCTTCGAGTTGTCGAACACGTTCGTACAACTGTTTCACTTTAGCATTTAAATCGTCTGTTAAAGAAAGAGATTGAATTTAAAAGTTATACAAATGTTATATAATGCATAATAATAATCATGATTATGGTATATGATTGTCATAATATACAAAGGTTACATATATTCTTTTCTTTTTGTTTAGATCATTGAAATAAACTGACAAAATTTAAGTACCTAAAAATAACATTCAGATTTTCAACGAATATTAGATACATTTAACGGACAAGTCACCAACTGACGCTCGTAAGTGGAAAGTACACATAGAATGAAACAATCATTGTAAATTGTTTTACGATAACATGTAAACACATATGGAATTGATGTTATGCAATGAACAAAAAGCAGATAACAGTTAGCAATAAAAAAATATCTAGAATAATTGATCGATGGTTAGAAGTTAGTTGACTATTCTTTTATATAAGACATCAATGATCGTAGAAGAGTTGAACAACTAGATCAACCGGCAGCCTGCTTGAATATCTGGGCTACCTGTTCCTCCGATCTAGATATTTCATCAAGTTATCTGTTTTGTTGTTTGTTTCAGCACATCATTATGTCTATTGTGCGCACAACCTATTCAGGCGCGTTTATGAAAAGTTTACAACCTTTCGCTATACGTGATACAAAAAAGTACAATCAGCGACAACATGGTGGCGGGCAATATGCATTGAAACGAATGAACAGTAATCAAATGTGGATTACCGAACTCCTAACATCTAACCGGTCATCATTCAAAATTTATCGTCAAAATAGATCAAGGTATGAGAAAAGGAAACTTGTTGAAATACTTTATGCTGAGAATTCTATGTTGTACCAAAAATATAATGTTGAATAAAGCTTCTAATAATAATAATAACCTGCTAAGAAAGTAGATTAGCGCTAAGGATAACTTCTTATAACAGTGGCTGCAACCACGTGACTAGTCAGTGCAGACATCTCGACTATACACTTAACCGGTAAATAGTTTTCTAATTGGTCGAAAAGCAGCTAGAAAAATTATATGTTTACCATGTAAAAAAGCAGATAACAGTTGTTGATCTACTTACTTTCACCAAGACCATCAAGTTTCAAGGGCTCTACTTTTCCACGTAAAAAGTTCTCACGTTCTTCCTGTCGGCGTTTCATCTCAGCTTTCATTTCATCAGCAGCTTTTTGCATAATCAGTTGCTGAAATAGATGATTTTATTAAAAATATTATCATGCTTGACCAGTCGAGTATAAATTGTTCACAGTTTTTTTAATGAGTTTTTTCATTAACCTCCTTTACTATGTGTACTGTCATGACCAAGTAACAGATTAGTATTTGCAATACGTAATGACTTAAGTTGGCTTAAAGACTAGAGTCCTGATGCGGCCCACCATTTTTACTTTACTACTGTTGATGTACATGAAATAAGTAACTTAAATTCTACTCTAAAGAACGATTATACGAATAAGCTTTCAGTACACCTAACTTTCGCAAATCTGTTAAGTTAATTCAAATAATTTCGGTGAGACTATACTCTATGAACGAACCAATCAGATTTAGTATAACAGGTCTTGGATTTGGAAGCGAAATTCATTCATTCATTTGTCTAAATAGCGTTTTAGCGTTTCAGCCAATGTCTATTCGTGAAGAAAATCCTAAATGTAATTCCTAACCATCATCTGTAATTCATAATCTTTATTCTTATTAACACAGGCTTATAATCCTTATTTAGCTCTAGTAACGTGGTGGACCTTCTCAAGGTCACTTTGGAGTCGCTCAAAGGTCGTCCATAGATGATATTTTCACTCATGAAATTAAAAAAATTAAAAAAATGTATAAACAAAGCTTAGTAGTCTGATTGCATTCTACTCTATTTAAGTTAGAAATTTTCCCGGTTCGACATTGTATTAATATCTAGACTAACTGTAGTTACATTTTGTAAATTATCTTTATATCTATTATTACAATCAGAACTGATATTTATATTTTCTCCATACTAACATTTATCAAGTCATAGTTGTATTTTAATAGATGGAATAGTTTAATGTTGACTATCCTTAGAAATTTCCATTTTGTAATTCTAAATAAACGAATCAAAGAAGGTTAATATCAACAACAAAACAGTTTAAAGCTGCTTAAAGTGTAAATTTATCCTATTGTCATGTGAAATCAGTTGATAAGCAAATACATTCGCCCATTTTCTATTCGACTTAAGGAAATCCAAAACAATTGTTACTATAATTCTATTCTTTTTATGATCCTTCTATGTTAGATATAGTTAAATTATGAATGTATGGTATGTGGATAATCCTAAATTGTTCATTGATCAGAAAAACTAAGATGAAAATAGAATGGTTAAAAGAACTAACTTAAATTATTGATGTTTTTTTTGTTGGATCAATGGAGAGAAAAAAGAAAGTTACCTGCTATATGAATATCTTGAATAATTTTGGGATGTTGTAGTGTCGGTTATTATGTTAAGCCCATATATCTTATTCTAGCTTCCGGACAGGCTAATCTATTCATTCTAATTGAGTCACCTTTTGACCATGTCAATTATCCGTTTATCAATGTTGACTGTTTTTATATGAGCGCATATGTGTGTGTACATTTCTTACCCATTCATTATATGTCTGTAACTTATTTTTGTGTGACTATAAACACTGATTAACGCTTGACTAAATGGAGTTGGCTTATCCGCCATCTCTACTGAGCGTTGTTTTGCTTCGCTCTATTCCATTCGCTTCATATACAAAATATATGTATTCAAAAGTCAATTCTTGCGATTTGACCTATGTAATTCCGTTATTAACTAACGTGATTTGAGTTTATAATTATATACAAGGATAGGCGACATATAGATTCAATAAAAATCATTCATACGAATAAATTGGAGTCAGATCTTGGACCACTAAAGTGGAAAGCCCGTCAACAAACATCGTCCGATCTCAATGACGACGAAATAAAGGGCCCCAATAAAATGTAGAACCCTATATTTCTAGGTGTTTATTAATATTTTACAAAACAAAAGATAAAATGGAGGGAGTAAATATACATCGTACTGAACTACATGGATGGCAGAAATGATTGTTTTACAATTAAAAGTCATTAAGTATTTGCATGTTATAATAAAAATCTGTGAAACATTACTGAAACTAATAAAGGTAAGTGAACTGTCCTATTAGTTAAATAATAACAAAAGTAAACTAATACCTTTAAATTTTATGTTCTGAGTGGGTAAATAAATTATTTATCATGAAAAGTGGGTTCTTTTTAGCATCGTGAGTAAATGGTTAATATTCAGTATGGTAGTATAAGGGTTTATTAGTAACCATAATGTTTATGCAAATACTGATAAATATTATAAGACACAAGGCTAATGTATCTAAAACAGTAATATGAAAGAGTGTAGAACAGTCCCATAAATATAATATAATTAAATGGGATTTCTTAAAAATTTAGGACCCTTTCTTTACAAAAGACTATTTTCCCAAAGATAAGATCTTGCTAACATAAAGTATAATCTTAAACACGACAATAGGTACTACGATAAGTACTAGACTTGAATGTTGAGCCTGCAGGAGCGCCGACCTCCACATATCTATTAACCGGCTGAGCCATCTTAATCCAAGGTTCGTCAAACATTCAAGACGCCCCACGTTCCTACATCATTGACAGTGACCGCCACACCCAATGCCGTCTCGCTAAACCACCTCGCTGGACCTCTCCTGTCCTACCTAGACCAGTCGAATCAGTGCCTACTTCCTGGCCCCGCAATGTCGTTTGCATAATTGCCTCCATGCCTGGCAGTGACAAATTTAAATCACGTAAGTAGGCAGGAAGTATGTATACTGATTACAAGAAGTTAAACAGCAATTGCATAATACACTTACATGGCCTTCAATAGTCCATTTTAATCTTTCGATGTTTTCTGCAATCTGAACTGAACTTTAAGTGTTCTACCAACTCTGTACTCTTAATGGACTGGAACTCTCCATTCTATTCGTCAACTGTTGCACCTTAGACTCCACTTTCCGCAACACTTTAGTTACAAACATCCTTGTGAGTGGCGTCCACTGCAATAGTACCGTATGATATCCTCAGAAATCATTATTTGTGGTATTCTAAACTACTAAGGGTTTTCATCAATTAATTATCTAAATGAAGCTTGAGCAATTATTAAATAGATTCAGTACTTCTTCTATAAATAAATTTGAAGCGGTTTGTGATGGATGAGATCAATGAGTATCATAAATCAGATAAATATTATGTTGATACACATAATTAATTACATCTATAAAAACCAGGCCACTCTATTGGTTACATTAAAAAATTATAGCTCACTTGCATAAAAACATTGGAGTTATTCAAAATATTGGTATGATTAACTCACTTTCAACAGTCGTTTTTTCTCTTTCGACAAACCACCTAAACCTTTACGCTTCTGACCAGGTTTACGTTGTTTCTTCGAGGCTTCTTCAGCTTCTTTACGTTTCTTCTCCTTTTTTATGATGTTATGAACAGTAGTTAAACAAGGTAGAAATTCAAAACAAAATGTAATTAAACACAGCTAATTCTTTCTACTAAAGATAAGTGTTGAAAAAACTTCAAACGAGCGCTTTTTTTTTAAATTTTTCATTCCATTCAAATTGAAAGCACCTGTTTGTCATCAATCAGAAAAAGAAATATTCTATTCTGCTGTTTGTATTAGGCGTAAACATGCAAGCATGTTAAATTAACTTACTATCATTTCTTTAACATAAAAGCATATGTAATCAGTAGGTAGATTAGCAAAAATAAAGCATTAAACTCAGAAGTTAGCAGGTTAGCTAAAACAAAATATATATCAAACCTAACTATTACACTGTGAAAGAATGAAGGAACAGAATTAGACCAATATCTATCTCTTGGTAACTTGATGAAGATTTCGAAATGTTACTATGCATTATTTTAATGAAGTGCAAAGGTTTTACATGCTAAATGACTTAAATGTTTTAGTATTAAGGATAAAGGTTGGTAAGTTAATCCATTGGACTATATTGCACACTTCATCATGAACGATTCCATGAAAAGTTAAAATGTAGTGCGACTCCATACTTATAAACTTGAAATATGACTTAGCTTTATTGTTACGTTACAGTTTTATTGAAGTTATACTAAGTTAGGTTTCTTAAAAAACAATTTATAACTGTTTACCAAACGATGTGTTAAATGAATTAAACCCTAATCATATGTTCTAGTAATGTTTTCTACTGAATGTTTAATTCTCAAAAGTTATATTGTTGATAAGCAGATAAGAGAATTGTGGAGATGGTTACTAATTTTTTTTACTTTTCACATGAATAATTCAAGTTATTGGATGAATAAAGTTGATCATTTCGGATTAATTCAAAATGGAGTTAAAAGTGATATTGTTTATTTTGTCAGTGCGGCGAGACTCTAATTTGTGGACGAACCAATCAGAGGCGTATTAGAGATTTCAAGATCACAGCGCCAACTTCAGTGCTTAATGCTAACGTACGATCGGTTCACGGGGGTTTTTATGCAAAATGTCATAATTGAGCAGCTGTTACAAATAAAACGGCGAGACTATAATTTGTGGACGAACCAATCAGTATAAGATAATACATCTCGGATTTTGGTGCAAAATTCACTAACACATTTGGCTAAACAGAGTTTTGGCATTTAAGCTGATGTCAGTTCTTGATGTAAACCCAATATATAATCCCTAACTAAGGCAAATTACGACAATTATTGCGAACTGGATAATAAAAGCACCAGTAACACGCTGCAGTCAGGTACTACAATATATACAATGTTTGGAGAGTGCACAGACTACTACATAGGCTTGGTTATGTGCATAGTGTCGTCGTCCACAAGTAGCATTTTTTGCACTCAACAACCGGAGTGCACATAAACAATATTGAAGCTATGTGGTCGAGGCTGAAAGAGTTTTTGAGACTTTGTCATGGCTTAAGAGGCCGACTATTCTGTAGCCGTATGGATGATTTCCTCTACTGCATGCATTACGATTTTAGAACCTCTGAACCTCTCCCTAACCTTGACAAGTTTTTGAACCAAGTATAAGAAGTGTATCCACTTTATTTCTTTGGTTTTGTATAATATATTTTTACTCTATACTGGGTGTTTGCTAATTGGCTAATATTTCTCGAGGTCATTTAAGATTCGTCCAAGGTTCGTCCATAAATTAGAGTCTCGCCGTCAGTGCTTGATAGTTAAAGTGTTCTTTCTTAGGGAATATTCTAAAATGATATTATCGAATTTTGTTTGAAAACAATCACCAACCATGAAAATAACTCACCATTAAGTGTTAAACAATGAATTGTCCAAAATAATACAGTTAGAAAATATATTAAACAGAACTCGTAAAATAGCACTTAACAAAAGAAAAGGTCTTCATGATCATTTATCTAGTGTACATCTTTCCATTTTTAACACTCTAATTCTAGAAATAGAATGAATTCATCAATCACTATTTACACATATATACAAATATTATGAATACAGGTTTCTGTTAATTTGGACTGAACAACATAAACAATCCATATCTTCATGTTCTGATGATAGTCAACATGTAAACACTTCAATAATGGTCTTAAACTATAACACTATAGAAAAATATACCTATATATATGTTAAGTAATTATCTTGTGTTTAGTTTGAATAAAACTTTATGAGGTAAAGGCAAAAAAAAGAGAAAATAGCATAGAACCCAGGTATTTAGTAATGTGTTTCAACTTTTTTTGTTGTTGATTCAACAATATTTATCTTCCATGGGTTCGTTTTCTTTTTATCGCAATAAAAAAGAGAAATAGTTTAATGAGGAAAAGAAAAAAAGAAGAAAAGAATGAACTCATGTGATCACAAACCAGAGTGAATCACACACAATAAAGCAAATAAAAAAATTTATCAAGTTTATGAGAAATGAAAAGCAATAAATAAAGCGTAGATTATTCATTAGCGCTAGTTTCAAATGAAATACATTCTATTTTATTAATTCACAAATCTATCCTTTGTGTTGCCATGATTACAGAAAGCTATCTAATGCACAAAAGCCATTTGAATTCAATCACATTAAATAGATAGCAAGATTAAAATTATAAAAAAAAGAAAAGTGAATAATGGCTAACAAAATTTTGGTTAAATTATGAATTACAAAATTAAAAAATCTAATCAACTGAGATTTGAATGTTTCTCACTTTTATACTTTTTTATTTATTATAGTACAATGTAACTCAAAGAGATTATTTTTCATTGAAATGATCATTGATAAGTACTTTTAACATATTCAATCAATGATAAGACAATATCATCACTTTGTTATGAAATGATCTGAATGATTTTTTCAGGAGGGGGGAGGATAAACTAAGGTACTTGATGCATTGAAGTACTAAAATGTACTTGATAAATATCTTTGAGATACATTGTAACTTCAATCTATTCATTATTATTATTATTATCATTCAAATTAAACATGCCAAGCAAAACATTATCAGTTCAATTTATTCGTGCATTTTAATTAATTAATTGATTAATTTATTTTTTTGTTAATATTTGTTAGACTAATTATTGAAATATTTAATTAAATTAAAGTCTTGACAACAAGTTAGAACACCCCTTTACAAAGATTTATATTAAATAATAATTAACTTTGCTTAAAATAAATATGATTTAATTTGTAAAATATTAATAAATAGATGAATAGATGAATTAGTGAGTGAGTCTGTGAGTAAGTCAGTGGGTGAGTGAGTGAGTGGGTGAGTGAGTAACGAAGTAAGTGAGTAATTAGTTAGTGAAGTGAATAAATAAAGAATCATTTTGGGATTAGTGAATAAATCAATGGATACTATTAGAAATATGTGACTAGTAAGAAAAATAGTTCATTTCATTTATTTTTTTCATTGATGTTTGTTTTATGTTAAAAATATTTCTAACCTCTAGTTTACGCTGTCTTTCTTGAGCTACCTAAATTTATAAATAATAGAATAGAATAAATGAGATATATATGCAAAAAACCAAAAACAGTCAAAAAAAACACAACAACAACAACACATCAATAAAAAGAGACGATCAGTGAACATCTTAATATACAGATACATAATTCATAAACTGTATATTCACTACTATTATTTGTTTGTTGAGATATTAGTTTCATCAGCTTTTCATTATAATATCCATGCTGAAATGAGATATTTGAAGGTATATTCAATTGAACTGTCAACATGCAGTGAATATTATTATATACCATTATTATTATTATTAGTACATGCATTTAAAATAAAATCCTATTAATCATTGTTTATTAATTCTGATAGAACATGTAGACTAGCTAACAAATACCTTCACATTTATGTGTACTTTTTTTATAATATCTAAGTGGAATAGCATTCATAGATCCAGCTGGACATAAAGTCAAGCAAGCTATATATATGTATACATATATAAGAAATCTACATTTAGATAAACTGACTATGACATGCTTATAAGACATTAACGTATTTAAAACATTCATATGGTCAATATTCTATTAAAGATATTCACATATATTTATTGAATTTACGAAAAGTTATCATGAGATAAATGTTTTAATATTCACTATTGTTTCTTCATTTATCATTGTTGTTATGTATATGTTTGTAATGTATTCAATTAAGATTGAAAATTTATATAATAATATTCTACGAAGAAATTTTAATAAAACATTATATCATAAAGTAATCATTGATTTTCGATAAAGTAGTAAACATAAATAAAAACTATCTTATTTCATACATACCTCTTCCTCTCTGCGTCGACGTTCTTCTTCCTACAAAATAGACGATGTAAGAAACGAAGGAAAGTGTATTAATTTTCTCTTCTGATTGCCACATCATTGGAATATATATATATATATATATATATATATATATATATATATATATATATATATTTGGATAAGACAATTTACATTTTAAACAGCCTTTATAACTAAGTTATTTTGATTTACTGAAAGATTCAAATATTATTGTTTTCACTGTCAACAATACTACTAAACACTGCTAATCAAGAAAACATAAGTAGTTGAACATTTATGGATTCCTTCTATCTAGTACTGTGATTCAGATACTGATACATTCTTTTCTAATCTAAGCTTTAATAGTTAATAAATTAAAAGCACTTACTGTAAAGGAATGAATTTACTTGTAAATAAATGTGTTACGTTTACTTGGGAATTTAAATAAATTAAGAATTATGATACCTAGTGAACTAGCTCTAATATGTGTACGAAACCAATGTTTATCTTTTATTATACTTATTAAAATAATCAATTGAACAGGAGCGTTTTGTTTTAAAAAAATGCCATCGCATTTGGCAAAAATATTTTGTCCAAATAGGATTGTTTGTTTGAAATGCTGTTGTCAGTGCAAGTTGTTTACCTATTATCTCGCTTTTCTCAGAAAAGAAAGACCATAAACAGTCACATGTATGCACAAGTAAAAAAATAGTAAACAACCATCATTTTAAACAAAATTAAAAACAATTCAAATAACATCATCATAAAACTACAACAAAAAAGACAAACGGCAAAACAAGCAAAAAGAATAATAAAAAGGAAGAAGTCCTTAACCATGTATGTGTAGTACTTTCATAATTTCAGGAATTCTTCAGATGTTATTCTGTGTAGAACGCTAACATAGGATTAAAAGAATCTGTCTGGATGATTACCTTGTCAAATCTAAAGTAAACTGAAGCTAGTGAAATGAACTATTTTATCTGAAGAAAAAGCGCTTACCGTGATTTTAGAACGTGCTACTATGAAATGACAACCTAAAACAAAACAGTTTTCTGGTGTTTTTTTCTCATTATTATGATGAGAAAACTGTTTGATCAGATAATGTGTAAAGATATTTATTTATACAAACCAATGCTAGACAAAGAACTACTTAATATTCCTAGTACATTGAATAACCCTATTTTTCTTCAGCAGTGTATTCTCTATCTTTAATGAGTATAACCTGAAATTATTTTTAACCCAATCGATATGTTAATACAAAGCTAGTGAGTCGTTTTCTAAAATAATCTCATCTTCGCATTAGGAATTTTGAAGACTCATTATATCAACATTGTAACTTGTGAATCCATAATAAAGAAAACTGGCATTTGTCCAGTATTGCTACACTTTTAATCATTGCTTATATAATATTAACTATTGATAAATGGATACATTCTACTAATCTACATTTAATAAACTAAAAATCAAACTCATAAAACATCAAACTACAATTACTATAGATAAGCTAAAACTGTTTACCTCTGAATCTGTTTCAGAAGATGACTAAATTAAGTTGAATGAAAAATATTTTAATTATATTTCTGCAATTAGTGTCAGTTCGAATTTTCTGATTGAGATCATAAATTTGTTTTTTAAATCAGACTAATATTTCTTTTAAAAAAACAACATAAAAATATGTTTCAATAATTGAGATCATGAGTCATTTGGACCTAGACCATCATGAAAAATCTAGCAGCATTAGACGGTCATTTCGTCCTATTTCTGGGACTCCTCAGCAGTGCACATCTACGTTCCCGTCTGGTGAGATTCGAATCCAAGATCTACAATAGAATGAAACGACTGTCTAGTGCTTCAAGGTTTTCCATGATAAGTCTAGCTTCAATTAACTCGTGATCTCAACTTTATCTTCATTAAAAACCCCTCTCATAAAAAAAATATATATATATATTGGATTTAGTGCGTATTTTTCCCAATGTTTAACAATTCATTTAAATCATGAGATTATTCTTAAGATCAGATTCATAAAGTACCAGGTCAATTATTTAGATTACTACTACTATTGAATTTGACCTTAACAACTCAAAGTTTATATTTCATGCATGAGTATGTTGTTCTTGTTTACGTTTTGTTTGTTTTGTTTTGTTCCATTTAATGGTTGTATCCATATGAAACTTGTTGTGTGAGTACAAGTTTAAACTCAAATGTTACATGATTTATCTTACTAGAAAATTGAAACATTTCTAAGCTAAGTAACTGAAATGAACGTATTATATTGTATTGTAATTTTATCATAAATATTGTCCAGATACAAAATCTTATTGATTATCTACTCAAAGTTCTCTCACTCTCTTATTTATTAATTAATTGGCTTTCATATTCATAGAATCTTTAATTTATGGAAAAACGAATTGAATTCTTCTTTTTTATTTGATGTAATTATAATTAATGATAGGTGTTGATTACATTTAATAAACTCAAATGAATGTTGATTTTCCTTTTATATTTTCATTATGAAACACAAGAACTTTCATTTTCACAATAAAGTAAATAGATATTTGTAATTATTTCATGATTATTTGTTTGAATATTTAACAAAAAATAGATATCATTTGTTCAAAAAAAAAATAGGCGCCATAAGATTTAACAAACTATAATACCCAATTAAAAGTTTACAAAGTTTGAATAAGTATAACAAACAAATAACTTCTTGAAATTAAATCATTTTATGTTTTGATGCTTTCATTTTGAATAAAAAGAAATAATACTGGAAGTAAACGTATGTAAATATTATAGTTTACAATACTGAAGTTTTATATATATACTTTCTTAGTTTATAAAAGAAATTTATCTATTTATTTATTTTATGACGTAGATATTGGTACAAGGAGGCATCAAATACATATGCGCCACACAAATCTCATTTGATATTTGTGAGGGTTGTGATACTGCCTAGGTGCCCAAACCGAAGCAGGTGGTTTTCTTAAGAGGCCATACTCGGAGCCTTCGACTTGAAGGTCTGGCCCACAAGGTAGTGGAGCCGGTGGCCAACGATTGGTTTACACACCATTTGTTCCTTCATGATACTGGAGCCCATGTACACCATTGGTTTTGGAATCAGGGTTTTCCAACTCTCCTAGGTGGACTCTCCATATCCACCAACCCGGTGAAAGCGTCGAACTTTCGCTTTGTATCCTCTCAATTTCGTAAACAACACCCCGTTACGAGAAGGTAGCGAGTAGGACTTCCCTGGCAGAGGCTATATACGTGTGGCCATTTGAGAGCATTTCGAGAAGGAGAGCGGACTATCCCCACTCTTGGCCGTACCAGGGCATTCGAGGACTAATATTAAGTTTAAACTTTTCTCTAAAATGATACTTGGAAAGGTATAAAACATTAGAATCACATCCCTATATAGTTATTCTCGTGACATTAAATTAAACAGCAAATATGTTGAATATGCTACTCATTTTCTACAATACTTTTCTCGATATTTGATTAATATATCAACAACAAGTAAATGTATACTTCATTGTTGGCAAAATGATTTTTCATCGTATTCAATCATTGTTATACCATGAGATTTCATATGACCTATCATTATTTGATTATTTAATCTTTATTTATATATGCATATATACTACTACTGGAAAAAATGATCTTACATTTGAGTAAATTGACTTCTATAGATAACAAATAATCTCCTTATACATTTTATAATACACATAACACAATATAAAACAGTTTAATTAATTGAATATTTCAAAAATTTTAACATTCAAGAAAAATATCGAGTCATACCTTTTCCCTTTTTTCTTTCTCAGTCTCCTGTAAAAGTAGAAAATCAAAGAAATAAACTAATTACAGTTCGATTCAATAAACGGTTACTACACTAAATTTGGCATATATATATATATATATATATATATATATATGAATAAGGATGTGCCAATAGCATTATATTATATTACGAAGCTAAATATTAACATCTATAAGCACATCAGTATCCACGCGCACACACACACACACATTAGATTTGAACATGCTTTACGATTAATGTGAACATTTACGGAAAAATTATAAAGATATTTTGCATTAGTTATTTTTTGATTAAATAAAACAAATCGGATATACTAAATGAACATGCGCTATAGTGATAAACGTGCTAATTATAATTCTTTTTTTAATTAGACGAAGCATATATATCCATAATTGTTTTATTGGATATATGGATAAAGCAGTAAATTATACTGAATTGCTTGATAATATTTTCCTCTGACCTAGTATTGTGTATTTTATTTTATTGTAACCAAGTAATCTGATTTTTTTAATTAAGTTTTAGATAAAATGAGTTAAATAAGAAGTAATTTCTCTATCCGCGAACTTATTCTGGAATATTCAACGGGATTGGTAGGAATCCAGTGCTTTCATCATTAAGTCATAGTTTGAAATAATAGAATTGTCGATTATTGATGTCATGAGTTTTTTGTTTTACATTATAACTTTCTAATCACTTAAAACCATAATATGAAAAGAATTATGATAAACAATGAATACAAATTCACTTGGTGTTGTTTTATATGTATAACAATGGGAAAGTACAAGTAAAATAAAGCCAAATGAATTTAAACTTCACCCCATTGCACAGGCAGGTGACTATCAAGATTTAGTAGCTAAGTTGATAACTCAATAGCGTTTGAAGCGAGCAACATTGGGTTGGAGTCTTAGATAGAACATCAACTCTGAGATGCAGATATATCCAGCTGACGAGTCTCAAATAAGACGAAACGTGCATCAAACTGGATTATACTGCCATCCACTATCTTTGCTTAGAAACAATAATTACGGTTTTAAATATCTTAGAAATATCTAAATGATTTCATTGCTTATGTTTCATGTTTGATTGTGTTTATAAATTACATCAGACAAATATTTTTAGTCATTAATTAGTTTCTTTAACTATGCAATTGTATTGTCTATGATCTATTTAGTGTTACTTATGTTAACCTATGTATTTTCTTTATCTTTACTAAAATGATTTGTATAATAGATAAGTGTTTAAGTTTATTGAGGCATATTTAAATAATTTTTTAATGATTTCAATGAATTCATAATCAAATTTATACAACAAAAAGAAAAGGAAAAATAACTTCTGAATATAATGTACTTTAAGTTATCAGACTTCAACTAAGAATTCATTTAGTATAATTGTATAATCATGACAGAAAAGTGAAATCAGAAGAGTTTTGTGGAGATTTTAGAAATTTCACAGATTGAAATCATGAGTCAATTGAAGCTAAACCTGGAAGCACTGGACGGCCGTTTTGTCCTAGTATGGGACTCCTCAGCAGTGCGCATCTACGATCCCCCACCTCGCGAGATTCGAACCCAGGGCCTATCAGTCTCACGTTAAGCGCTTAAGCAACTAGACCACTGACACGGCCGGCATCCAATGGTGTTAATGTCTAACTTCAGCCAATCCACGAAGTTGCGCTACAGTATACCATTGTCTTCAGTGAGCTGATATCTCACAACAGACCTGGTTGAACTCCACTAGTAACGGCTTCTCACTAGAACTCCCATACTAGGACGAAACGGCCGTCCAGTGCTTCCAGGTTTTCCATGGTGGTCTAGCTTCAGTTGTCTCATGATTTCAATCTGAGAAAATTAAAAGCTTGCTATTATATTATATAGCTTTACTACTAAACAAAAGACAAATAACAGTCTAAGTAAAAGCGTCTACATAAACTAAAAACAACCCACTTTAAATAACATGCAATTACATTAACCAAAATAAATTAATTGGAAACAGCTATAGTCATATCTAGATAATTATGATTAATATATCTCTCAATTCCAAGATAGTGCACTAAATAATCTAATACAATTTACTTCGTATAGGATATACATAATAATAATGACAACAACAACAACAAAAATACATCTATGCATTATAGTATAGGCATGAATGTTTGTGCGTATGTATGTATGTATATTTTTTTCAATTTTGATGCGTTTATATATTAAACGTCGAAGTGCCCACCTCTTCAGACTCTTCCTCAGACTATAATAGTCATATTGTATTGAATTATAACAGATCATTATGAAATCACATGGAATCATACAATAAAACAAGGATAAATAAAAGTTATCATTAAAAAGCAAAAAAAAATTATTTGTAAAATTAGACTTGAAATAAATCAATTAATTTTATTATTTCAGTGGAATATGCAGAATGGGTAACTTCGACAGTGATTTTTCGGTACATTTTCATTATCGTACAGTAATGCTCCGTGAATTAATCAATTTCTTACGACAGTTATTGACTAGACCATGAATCGTCGGTTTTTATTTGATGAAACGCTTTTGTACTACTTAAATAATTACACGTAGTATAAATAATGTAAATGAAATTTCAGTGGATGTTATAAAGCATGGTCAATAAGTTGATAAACCTAGTTAATTGACAGCTGATTAAATTCAGATTTCTGTCTGTCAGTGTAATAAGCTTAAATAAAATCAACTATTCCCTCTGTACCAGAATGCCCATACATATTTTTAATACGATATATGAAATAAGGAAAGTAATGAGTAACTTACTTCTTCCGATGAACTGAAAAAATAAAATACAGAATTCAAATGCAACAAATTATTGCTTATTCATCAAACAACTAAACATATTCATATAAACAAACGTTATTTTTCTGCCTTCGAACCCATATGTTTATGTAATCTGTATGCACTACATTATGTGTCATATTTTATGTTCTTTTTGTCTTTCATCATGAATGAATAAACAAATTAAGAAATAATATTAATCAATTAGATTTACTATTTTAAATCTTTTCAATCGAGATGGACTGAATTTTGTATTGCTCTAACCTGAAACTCTTCAAGAATGATTACCTGCAACCATACATGATGTCAAAGCTAAGACATTCAAGTCTCGTCTGTGTTTAATTACATTTCGAGCATTAAGATATGATGCAATGGATCATATGTTCAAGTTCAGTCAATTTATGATACATAGACATTCCTATTTGGTTAACTCTAGTATTTTAATCAATAATGAATAAATTACTATTATTAAGTCCAACATGGTAGAATAATTCATGGGACAAGCTTGACTGTATTCATGTTATGTTGAAAATCAAGTGAAATTGAAAATGTTGACTATTATCTTTCAACTTGGTATCTCAATGATATTTTTTTTGGCATATAACCTGAATAAAAAGGCTTGACTTTAATGGATACAAAAGCGACACATAGCTGACAAGCTTTCCGATATGATGAAAGAGTTATGTAGTGTTGTAGGTTAGAAATTCTCATGACAATATACATTTAATATGATAAGCGAATCAACGAAAAAGGTTATAGATATCACTTTTCAATAATCAAGAGCATAACTGTAATAAATAGAATATTTAAGCAGCCTATTTTCCGTTTCAAGGAGAATTACTTGATTAAATTAGATTCGTATATATATGTGATAGAATTATTTATGTGATGAACATCTTTAACACTTCTCGAATCCCACATGAAGTATCAGCTACCTCAAATTGACACTTTACTGATGAATGATATCTCACACGAAACGTCAATCCAGAGATTCTTATCAAATACCTCCAACCATCAAACTATTATCACTTTTTTGTAGGTAAAATGTCAATTTCTTAGTCCAAACTTTGTTTTACAGAGTTCAACTAAAGATAAACCATATCACATAAGTTTGTGTATTAACATCGATTTTTCGTTTAGCAGCCTTCATGTGCAGTTATTTCGTTACCATATAAATATGTAAATAATAATGCTAAACTATTGTTTATGATTAACTGACCAAATTGCTATTAATTTCATGACTAAGTCAGAATTTAGTAAAAGGTATATATCACACTATGTATATATTTACACTTCTATTGTACAGCAAAATCATAAATTCGAAAATTCTTTTTATATATACAGTATACAACTAAAGACTTGATAATCATGGACAATATGAAACTCACCTTTGTTGGCTTTCTTCGTCACTCATTTTGTTGTAATGTTAGAATTGGGTGTAGTACGTGAAGAGAAGCTGTAATTAGGAAAACGGTAGTTATTATTATTATTATTAAAAATCCTTTAGGAATATGAGAATATATTGTTTATAAGTGGAAAAGTTCTATTTGTTTCACTAACCAAGTAAAGGTGAAGTTAAAATTTGTGTTTGATTACTTACGAAATGTGTAAATAAGATTAAATATCAAGTTGTTTGTGTTAATTTCAATGATTATGTAGGCGTATTGGTTAAATGCACATGGTTACATTTCAATAAATTTATCGATCAAAATTAAGGGCATCATAATTAAACCAATCTAAATTCTTATCATAATTTTCCATTACTTCCCTTCAACATCAATCTGACGTAAGGTTGATATATACAATATGTGTATGTTTATCTATATTTTCACTATTTAGCCTTCCAATCGATTTATCTCACATTTGTGTTAGGAATAAAAAATTACTCTTCTTTTTTCATAGTTTATCCAATAGAATACAAGTAACGAATATACAATTACTTCAATTCTCTATCCTTTAACCTTCTTTTCATTATGGGCACATTGTATCATAATAATTTGGCTAAGGACAGAAAGTTAGGTGTTTTTGTGTTGAATATATACAATTTGGAATGCTTTAACTAACATTTAGTTAGTCCAGGTAAAAATATATATCACAAATTGCAAGAACGTTTCATTCCCAAACTTTCTTTACTTATAAAGAAGAAAAGAAATCAATTTAGTCGAGTGTATTCGAAGACTAATTCTAAAAAAGAAATGCGTACGAGATTTTCTATTGTTGGACTGTGTTTTTTTTCATGATTGCGTAAGACTAAAGCAAAATGTTTAAATAATTTAAAGAAAATTAGGCATGAATGTAATTGTGAAGTCAGCTGAATCGAAGTTACCACAAATAATCTTTACGCATTCTTTCAGTTAATGTTAATGTATATCATAAGGGTTTTTGTGGATATTATAGTGATTTCAATAGTTGAGATCATGAGTCAATTGAAGCTAGACCACAACTGGATGGCCGTTTCGTCTTATTGTGGGACTCTTCGGCAGTGCGCATTCACAACCCCGCCTTGCGAGATTCGAACCCATGAGTCAATTGACTCATGATCTTAACCATTGAAATTAATGTTAATGTACTGAAAAGTAAAATAAAATGTGATTCAGTGTTTTTTCTTGAAAAAAATCTAACTTTCTTCAAATACAAATAGGCGATAGCTTATCTAATCAAATGTTTAGTTTTGTAATCTAGTCCCAATGATCGCATCATAATAAAGGTTTGATAGTTATACTTATAAGTGAAGTTATAATATCTACTTATAAGTAGAATATAATCATATTTCATGTTGTATTAATTTTCTTGGTAAAACTTCAACATCAAACTCATCAATTTAAACATTTTAGGTTTATCCATTAAATTACTGAGTGATTCTGTAATAGCTAAATTACTTGAACTGTTTCATAATATTAAGCAAGAGAATTTATTTTTGCTTGGTATTTTTCAGGAAAATTGTTAGTAAATGAACTTTACTAGTCGACATCATGAGTCAACTGAAGCTAGACCACTATGGAAAACTTGCAAACACTGAAAAGTCGTTTCGTCCTAGTAAGAGACTCCTTAGCAGTACGCATTCACGACCCCGCCTCGATAGGTTCGAAGCCAGAACCTGTCAGTCTTGCGCAAGAGCGATTAACCACTAGACCACTGAGCTGGCTGGCATCCATCGGTGTTAATGTCTAACTTCAAGTAATCAACGAAATTGAGCGAAACATCCACCATAGTCATCAATGAATTACTATATCATAACTGACCCAGTTGAACTTTAATTAATCATAGTTTGTAAATGTTTTACTATACTACTATATTGTCACTTTTGACAAAATCAATATATCTATGTTCATTCATGTAAGGTAGGTAAAATATTCTTGTCTTTTAGAAACTACAAGTTTTTTAATAATTGTTCTACAAAGTATGCTGAGTATCACTTTTATTAATAGGACTATTTTACAAGAGATTGATACAAGATTCACTTGGTATTGTTTGACTTGTATCCTCCCATTGAGTTTTTTTAAGACTGCAATTGGTCAGTCTGTTATCGACATACGTGCATACTGCGAGTATGCCTCGATATTACCTTAATTCACAAGCTATTTGTAAGCAATGATGGATAGTAGCTAGCAGTGGAATCCAGGACGCGCGTTTCGTCTTATTTGGGACTCGTCAGCTGGATGTACCTGCATCTCAGAGAGTTGATGTTCACTCTGAGACTCGAACCCAGTACCAGTCGCTTCAAACGCCATCGCGTTATCCACTCAGCTACGGAGTCTTGATAGTCACCTGCTTGTGCAATGGGGTGAATTTAAATTCACTTGGTATTGTTAGGCTTGTATCTTCCCAATTTAAGACTGCAATTGATCAGTCTGTTATTGGCATATGTGCATACTGACGTATGCCTTGATATTGCCTTAATTCACAAGCTTAATTCGAAAACGCGCCTCCTGGATCCCAATGCTATCCACTATCCATCATTGCTTACAAAAAGATTCATCCAAGAGTTTTGATAAATATTAGACAATGACATGAACCAAAGTTATTACTTGAACATATAATGTTGAATAAAGAATGAAATGTAATATGATTTAATTTATTAGATTTCGTATCATTACTTTTTTCAAATAGTTTAACTTTTCGCATTCCTTAAAGTTACTTAGATGTTTGGGGTCCAGAAATCTTATAGGTTCCTAAGATGTAGTCTAATCCCTTCATCACAAATGAATTGCCCTAGGAAATATGAATTCCAATTCACTAACAGATGGTAAATTTAATGAAATTCCTGACTTTTCCTTTCGAAATATTGGGATAATTCTATTAATTTATGTACTTTAGAAAGATTAAACAAAAATCATTTGGAATTTGCTAAGTGACAGTTTATTAGATTTAACATTAGTTTTATAGTCCTGATCGGTACATCATAAATTTAACGTTTTTTTCAGAGCTCGTAAGTGTTTTTGCCTCATCAGAACTATTGCTGTACGAAATGAATAAAGAGATTGACTATACTACAAGTTAATAAAATGTTTTTGTGAAATGATTTATATTGTCTATATCATGATATTGAATAAATCTATTCACATAACCATCCTCCTTATCAGTGTATTCTGAATACTTTTTATTCAGAAGGTTTTTATGCACATGTAATATAATTAATGTAGTATACTTAGCTATTCTGTCGTACAAGTTTAATGACATGTCACCATAGTATTCAATGAAGATTAAGATTATCAGATTTTTATACATACTATGTTAGAAAGCCTTAACTTCTTTATAAGAAACAAATAAAAAATCAAAATAATCAACATGGCCAAACAAGGGTTAGATTCTATATCCTTTTCTTTAAATAGCATATACGGATATAAACTGTTTTAACCAAGTTCCTACCACTTATGAACCAGTATTAAAAAAGTTAAATATCTTTTGTAATGCTTCTCCCTTTGTTATTGAAAGAATAGTAAATCAGATCTCTTCAAAATTATTTGTATAGGGTTGTGGAGATTATTTAGTTTTTGATTGAAATCATGAACCTATTAATGTTAGATCACCATTGAAAACCTGGAAGCACTGGACGGCCGTTTCATTGTGAGATATTAACTCACTGACGACAATGGTAGACGGTGGAGCAACTTCGTGTATTGTTTGAAGTTGGACATTAACACCATAAGATGCCGGTTCAGTGATCTAGAAGTTAGTCGTTCGTGCGCGAGACTGAAGGCCCTGGGTTTGAATCCCACGATCTGGATCTTGGATGCGCACTGCTGAGGGGTCCCACAATAGAATAAACGACCGTCCAGTGCTTCCAGGTTTTTAATTGTGATCTGACATCAATCGGTTCATGATCTAAACCAAAAACTCTTCAAAATTGACAATCGAAACCACACTTTTTCTTTCAGCAGTAAAATTCGTACTGAATGTACTAATAGAAAACATGATAACAACAAAGCATAGGAAATATTTTAAACTTGAAATAAATGGGAATTAAATTTGTTAAAATGCCTAACTAGTTAGTATCTCACAACAGACCTGGTCGAACTCCAGCTCATTGAAGACAATGGTGTACGGTGGCGCAACTTGTTGATTGGTTGAAGTTAGACATTAACACCATTGGATCCCGGCTCAGTCGTTTAATGGTTAAGTGCTCGCGCGCGAAACCAGTAGGTCATGGGTTCGAGTCTCGCAGGTTGCGGGATCGTGGATGCGCACTGCTGAGGAGTCCCATATTAAGACAAAACGGCCGTCCAGTGCTTCTAGGTTTTCCATGGTGGTCTAGCTTCACTTGACTCATGATTTCAACCTGTGAAAAAATATATATGAGTTGATATTTTGATTGATTATGATCGTCATTTCGCTATTGAATCTCAACACTTATGAAAGTAAAATTTACGAAAAAAATTAATTTGTCAGATATTCTGGAGAGACTTTCCAGATGGTATTCTGTGCTGTTAGATTTTTCTATATGGATTTCAAAACTAGCTACTAGACTAAACAGTTATAGTACTTCTGCGTTTGAGTCTAGAATCATTTTTGGTCTGTTTTTTTGTTAGAATCTCCTCAAAAGCATTCTAATATGTTTAACTAACTAAACTATTCCTCTGTTCTCCTTAGGAGTTTATTGACTGAGACTCTGGATCGGTGGTCTGTTAAAGCAAAATAAATAACTATCCATGTAGGCAAGTGTCCGAACTACTCTAACATCGTTTAGAATAACAATCATGACGATAAATGCAAGTACTTCACTGACAGGCTTGAATTTTCCTCTTTTCTCTTAATATATAATTGAATAAAACCAAGAGATGACTTTTAAAAAATCATATAAATAGATCAACTATTTTAGATTTAGTTCCACTTTCACGACATTTTATACATTAAACTAAATTATGGATAAGTGGAACGCTTGCTGTATTATGATCAATTCTTTATGATACTAAT